CATTGGATGGTCAAGGTCCATTATAATGAGTGAGAACATGTGATATTCGGATTTTTGTTTTTGTGAGAGGTCACTCAGTATATAGACTCTAGTTCCATCCAGGTTGCAGCGAAATTCATGATTTTTGTTCTTTTTTATGGCTGCGTAGTATTCCATCGTGTATATGTACCACATTTTTTAAATCCAGTCCTCTTTTGATGGGCAGCATGGTTGTTTCCAGATTCTGCTATTGTGAACAATGCTGCGATAAACATACGTGTGCAGGTATCTTTTTTATAGAGTGATTTGAGTCTAACTTTTTATTAAATCAAAAAGAAAACCTTAAATAAACAAATAGTTGTACTTATAAAAACAGGCCTATTGCTGAAGAAAATAACTTCCCTAAGTATTAAAATGAGGTAGGACCTGGGTGTGTGGTTCACAACTGTAATCCCCAAAATTTGGAAGATCAAGGCAGAAAAATCGCTTGAGGCTAGGAGTTTGAGACCGACCTGAGCAACATGGTGAGACCCTGTCTCTGCCACAAAATTATTTTAAACATTAGTCGAACACGGTGGCACCCAATTGCAGTCTTAGCTACTTGGGAGGCTGAGGCAGGAGTATTGATTGAGCCTAGGAGTTTAATGTTACAATGAATTATGATTACGAGACTGCACCCCAGCTCGGGTAACAGAGTGAGATACTGTCTCTAAAAAACTAAAAATAAATAAAATGAAACCAGAGTTTCAATGCGAGACACCATCTTGTAAAAAAATATTCTTCCTGACATCCTCAGTCAATTTGCAACTGAGTCTCAATTCTACCCTGTAGCCCATCCACTGTCATTTAGTTTCCCATCTTTCACCAAAGTTTATTACCATGATATGTTTTAGAATAGTTGTTCTACTGCCTTTCAGACAAACTTTGCTAAATATTATTTCCATCAGCATAAATTTTTATAAATATTGAAAGTGTAGTCTTGGAAAATGTCTGGAGTAGAGCAATTTTTAAGGTAGTCATTTTGCTCACAGTTCCTATTCCTTAACATGTAATAGAGTGGGGCTCACACCCTTTGTGGAATTAAAAGGCCGAATGGGGCAACTCTCTCCAAAGAAGGTCAACCCACCTACCTAAGATCTGAGCCCAAGGAGTACTTGTTTTGGGGTCTAAGATTGTTTTGGTAAATTATTTTGAATCTGCTCCCCACCAGCAAATGGTTGACTTGAGGCCCCTATGATCTACTCCATATAACATGGCCAAAAGATTTTTAAAGTGAAAAATAATTTTTTCCTTTATTTTAAAGATGTGGGGTACAATTCAGGGTTAGGGAGGGGCACACTTCATCAAGTGTTCATTATGCAGGTACCCTTGTTGATGAGGTATGCCCCTCCCTCTCCTGGCTGTTTTCCACTACTGCCAATTCCTTTCTTATAGTATTATGATAATTGTTCAAAGTCCACTTATGAGTGAGAACAAATGGTAATTTTATCAAAATTTCTAAGGAGCATTCAATTGAACTTCCAGCTGAACACTTGAATGTAAACATTGAAATATATCTCAGTAAAATGAGCTACCTTATTGTAGGAGATTACAATTAATAAGACAGTTGAAAGTTGAGAAACATCTACCAAAAATATTAAGTTTAGATTTAGATTAGAATAATTATACTTTACCAATTTTTCCCCAGAAATCTTCAACTACCAGGGTCACTTGTCTATTTAGTCCTCTCCAAGACTAATTTTTTTGCTTGATTAACCCATTCCACAATATATACATATATCAAAACATCATATTGTACTATATGTGTGTGCATATACTGTTTATGTAGATATTTTTATCTGTGAATTAAAAATAAAAATAAATAAATGTTTGTTCTTGAAAATTTTTTAAAAAGATCAATTTTTTAAAGGAAAAAAGGTATTATGTTTAGAGAGGAAGAGATGATGTGGGGGGAGAGAGTGAAATGTTCCATTTTTCCAGGTTAAAACTCCAGTATTATGTTTTTTAAAATCTACAGTTTTGTGGTGTTGCTCTCACTTTGATCTTTAACTTAGGCATCTAAAGAGCCAACAGTTTGGAAGTGGACAGAGCCCATTTTCTTTCTTCTCAGGTAGAATCCACATTAAAAAGTACCTCCAACTATTCAGTCAACTGAATAGTTTAACAAACTAGCCATAGTCTTTTTGTTTTTTATCAAGAAGCAGATATAACAATGAAAAAGGAAAACCTACATTATGCTGGTCTGCTACTCTATGAAAAAACCTCCACTAGAGATACCCCTTCACCTTCTCATCCCATTTGGGAGTGTTGAGTATCACCTCCATTGGGGTCTCTCTTTTCTCCTCAGGCAGAGTAAAAGTTCATGTATCTGAAGTCTCTCTCATTCTCTATTTATTCCCACATGTATGAAGCAGCAATTTTGGATTAATGCACCTGCTCTGAAAACCTAAACTCTTCTTTGGTGAGTCATGATAAGTTCAAGACTTAGAACTATTAGGAAGCCCAACTGCAACTGCATGTTAAAATCACAGTAATAAAGTTGATGTTTCCATTTACACATGCCTGACCCCTAATCCTGAAATGTCTCTGAACTCTGAAGAGAGTTAAGGACTGTGAGCAATTATCACCCCAAACTCCAAAAACAAACAAAAAAAGATACAGCATTATTATGAGACATATTAGAGGCAGAAGGAGAGCAAGGATGAAATGAGAGGCTACAGACACATATAAAATCAAAACAATTATAGAGATACCAAAGTAGAAGAAAAACAATCTATGGGTGAGGAGAGAGAAATCCCAAGTGAGAAACTGTAAGAACACTAGGTGAGATCCTACAACCTCACCTTGATCCACTGTACCTCTGTAGTCGCTCATGAAAGATGAGAAGAATTGGAGATTCCACTACTAAAAAATTTAGAGGATCTTGATTCAGGAGCATCAAATTCTTATTTTATTTCTCTGGGAATTCTACCAGCATCCTATCCTTGAAAATAGAAGATAAAGTTTGCAAGATAAAAGTTTACATAATATCTCAAAGATTTCTAGGTGAGAAAAAGTGAGATTCTGTTCATTCTTCCTAAACACTTCATAAATTAAGATTTATGAAACTATATTTTTCCTATTTGCTAGGATATTTCCATTAGAAATCTCTGGGTCTGTGACAAGACTTCGAGATATTACTAAAACTCACCTCAGTGAGAAAGTGGTATCTACAATCCCCCAAAAAATGGCAAGGTGGGAAGATGGAAAAGAATTTAATTATCAGTTCCTCTTGAAGCAAAACAAAGCTCTCTACACAAAGTCAGGACCCTCTCAAGAGTCAGGACCCTAAAGTGGAAGCCCACTGAGAAGCAAGACTGCGACTTGTATCCTAAGCTTTTCTCCTAAGTACAGCAACGGACTGAAGCTTTTGCTGGTCTCCTTGTCCCACTACCTAAGTACTTTATTTTCATGCTTCTGTTCCAACCGGAGCCCCTTTTACATTTTCCTTAACCTTGCTAATAAAAACCCATCTCCGTTTTCTTTTCATTCATTCAAGTGAATTTTGGCCAAGATAAAAGTTTCAAAGAGCTTTAGATTAACTACTTATTCAACCGACCAGTACATACACACAGTTTGCCAAATAGTTTAAGAACTAGGTCAG